GAGGAATTCAGAAGACCAGAATTTGAGACAACACAATGAATGGATACACCTGCACCATTGCAAACAATTTTGAGCCATGTCGTTCAAGGTCCCTAATCATTGGTGACTTTCGTCTCGCGGATCCCAACCAGATAATCTACACTTACCAACATTACTCAGTCCACTTATCAGCGACTTCTTGGATTTGTGCCATGTTTTAGTTTAGTTGTCCCTAGCTTTTTTACAACCTACTCCTACACCATATCACTAAAAATACATGAACACAGATAAATACTGTCCAGAACTTTCGTGTTTTTCACAATATTTTAGTATTCAAGTATTCACCAAAAAGCTACAAATCCAACTTTATAAACTAACTCATAAGTATGTTTTTAAATCACCCGTAGTATGTGAATATAGTAAGTTGTACATACATGGATGTATAACTGTAAATGTGAATTACAACTGTTCTTTTTGTGCCTCAAATACTAACTATATTTCATGTTTTCTTTTAAATAACAGCCAAATCATTATCATTATTCGAACACTATGAATTAAAGTACTGTCAATTAGAGTTATGGAGATTAGTGTTGTTACACATTTGTTATCATCAATCAATCATTGTTAGATTACCATTAGAAATGTGGAAGCACTGAAAGACGGCCGTTTCGTCCTGCTATGTGACTTGTTAGCAGTATGCATCTACGATTCCTACACCCCGCATGATTTGAACCCGGGACCTTCAGTCTTGCCTAACCACTGGGGCCAACATCCAGTGTCTAACTCTGGTTGATCGGAAGATTTAGCTCAACCTCACCCATTTGTCTTTGGTAGTAACTGCCTACACCCGACAGGGTTGAACTCCATTGGTCACGTCTTCCCACCAGAACTGCGCAAATTTCCTCACGAAGCTAGTCACTAGTGAGCACATTTTACGATATTTTCAATTAGAGTTATTGATTGATGATTGATGATTTCAAATGTGTAAAAAAACATTAATCTCCATAACTCTAATTGCAAATATCATAAAATGTGCTCACTAGTGACTAGCTTCGTGAGGAAATTCTCGCAGTTCTAGTGAGAAGTCGTGACCAATGGAGTTCAACCCTGTCGGGTGTAGGCAGTTACTACCAAAGACAAATGGGTGAGGTTGCGCAAGATCCCTAGATCAATCAGAGTTAGACATTAACACTGTTAGACGCCGGCCCAGTGGTTCAATAGTTAGGCGGTCACGCATAATACTGAAGGTCCCGGGTTCGAATCCCGTCGAGGTGCAGGAGTCGTGGATGCGCACTGCTGATGAGCAGTCCCATACCAGAACAAAACGGCCGTCTGGCAGTGCTTCCAGGTCTCACAAATGGTAATCTAACAATGAATGGTTGATGATTTCAAATGTATGAATTAAGACACAGACTCTATGGTAATTACTATAAACAATCAGTATTCATTCAACTGGCTTTATTATGATATATATATATATATATATATATATATATATATATATATATATATATATTCATACGAATTATCAAGTATTTCTATGTACATACGTACGTAGGTAAACATACATTCGCATAGAAAACATGTGTACACTATACATTTTACGATAATTATTAAGTTTAAGAAACAGTATAACTTTTTTCATAGGAAACAAATTTATAATTGACTGAAACTGAACTAATATGTACGCATATTGTATACTTTGATCACTTATCACAGGTATAATAATGTTAACAATGGTAAAGCTTTGTTTTGAAAGTAACACTGGTTAAATCTGACAATTATTGTGCAGTGAAATAAATATGATTGCAATATTTTGGTCTATAGTTTGTTATTTCACTGTAAAAACAAAAGTTTTAGTCAGGTGAAATATTTGTTGAATGTTTCAAGAAACATCTATGAAGGAATAAATTAAATTTACGGTTGTTTTTACCCCGGTCTTTCACTGATAAGACTAAATAGATATTTAGCGCTTTCTGATGCCCGGAGGTTGAACAATCGCTATTATCAGAACGAGGTTCAGGAAGTTATTGATACCCGCTTCGTCATTGTGCTGGACTGCACAGTTGTGTACATCCACGATCCTTCGTTTGGGATGCCTATCCAGGGAGTTTGGTCTCATTTCATCTAGAATCTGACCGCTAGTTAACATATGATCATTACCAGCATAAAGGTTTTGTGAAAATTTCTGCATTTCATAGTTTGAATCAGTAGTCTAGAGGTTAATTATTCTCATGCAAGCCCGAAGGTTCTGGATTCACATTTGTTATTGGGACATAGATGAAATTAAAGCATGACTACGTCGCTACGCGCTGATTGGCTAATTTCCTATCGATACTATCTCATACTATGATGTAACAGCTATTCAATGCTTCCCAATATTCAATGGTAGTCCAAAGTTCAAACCATGAAAAATGATATCAGTTTGTAACGAAAATCACTTTTCATTTCAATAAAAATATTTTCTACAATGACATATGATCATCTTAACAATTTCGTCCTCATTACTAAATAGTATGAAGACGGAATTTCAAAGTTATCATTCGAATACATGATATAACTAGTTTGAAAAATCGATACAAGAAAACTACCTCTTGATTATACTTTTAACGTTGATCGAATAACTCATTTCAGTGAAAAAGATTTTATGCCATCCGAGTTTCAACTCGATAACTCGATAACATCATACTCTACACAAAAATAGAAGTTCATTCATTGTAAGTGTACACTGTTTAAAAATGTATGGCACTATGAGCTAGTTTAGTCATAAATCAAAATATATCATTAAAGATTCATTACTCTCTAGTTCAGTTATCCATCTTCAATCAATACAACTCTTACGTGTAAATCATGTTCAAGTTATATATCTTTTTAGAAATATCTTATGAGTTTCAGTAGCTTTGACACTATGGATTGTATGTCTAATTGATTGTAGGATCTAATTTGTCCTACAGATGTAATTCTAGAACGGTAAACGCAATATTGGCGAGCACAGAGTCTATGAGAAAGCTATACTAAGAACAAGATCAACTTTTGCTTTAAACTTTATCTGTTTCTAAAGATAAAAACAATTAGATTAGTACATTAAATAAGGAAATTACAATTATCAAGTAACCCCAGTAAACATACCGACCAATATAGCGTGTCTTATGGAAATGAGTACAGTTATGAGTCACATCAATATAATAAGATAATAATGTCAATCAATTTGTAGGTCATTTACAACAAAGAAAGTTTACAGACACATCAGATCAGATCACGTAGTGGGCGCTTAAACCACAATTTGATTGGTTAGTTATGGCATAACTACAATTAGTTATGGAAATAACTAACACTCCCTCCAAAGCGGTCACCACGTCTAGGCCCCGTTGCCGTCGCGCTCTAACAATCGACCTCTTCCAGTAGGCAAATGTTTCATATATCTCGGTTGATCTCTACGGTATCTGTCTTCAATAGAATCGTCCTGTCTCGGCCATCTGTAGCACTATTGACCTGTCTAACTATGGCTTTCGCCCACAGATTTCTCGGCGAGCCAGTATTATTTACTAACACTGAGTCTCCATGTTGTGGATTCCTTCTCATTGACTTTATGATATGTTTCCATATACCGCCTCCAGGATCAAAGATTATTACTATAAACGACAAAATATTCCTTCTGGTTAGGTTTACAGGAAACTCATGAACTCTGAAAAATGATTCGTCCGCTCGAGCATTCTGCTCTATTCCCAGCGTTCGTTTACTCATCTCGTTGGATCCGCATAGGGTAATGTTTCCTTCGGTCCAATCTTCCTCAATAATTGCACCTATTCTCAAAGTTCGTGAGTCACATAGAGCAGTAGGCATTTGTAACCCAAATGAGAGTATTATTCAACATTGATCATCTTAAACCTTCTATTTATTTTGCTGAGAATAGTTGTAAACTGAATGATCACATATTGAACAAATCCTTCTAAAATATTCTTTATGAATATTATTTAAAACAAATCACTGATATAAATGCATGTTGATCCCTATTCAATAAATCTTGAGTATTATTTATATACTCTAATAAATGTGAATATTCTATATTCTAAAACTATGTAGATCAACCTAAAGGTATCATCCATTTAAAGCATTTTATATATATGAAGTTCAATGTACAACGAGTTTTGAATCACCAAACGATTTAATTAAAAAAAAAATTGTTGGGGTACATTAGATCCCTAGAACTCACTTGATAACGGTCCTAATTTTAGATTATGTGTTTTCGCGCATGGGCTGATCAGTTAACCTTGAGATTACATTTCCCACAAGGAAAATCCTTGACTGTCATGGGTTAATGTATGATTTTAGTACGCTATTTTTGTGGCTCCCCCAAATACGTTTATGTCATGTATAAATAAACTCAATTTGTATGCTTTTGAAGCTGATATTTTCTGAGTGCTTGTAGAATACACTTTCTACGTCAAACGGAAAACCATATTGTAAACCGTTCATTTGCAAAATATCACTTCATTATATCGAACTGGACTGTTCCAGTTGCAAAACATCAATCGATTGTCACTATTCATGCGTTTCATACGAATTCGATTGTGTTCCCACTCTTCCTTTCTTGTTCTTCCCCCTTCTTCTGTTGCCAGACATTTACGTTGACACTCACGTCATATACTACTTATAAGTAGCTGGCACCACATAATAAGATACAGTTTATACTATACTATCAAGTAGTCAAATCAACAAGAATTATGTAAGAAAACAACTGTGTATTATTTATCCAATTGAATATACACAATTTTCAACAACGGGATAATAAAATCAACAGTACACAATGATTAGTTGAATTAAAATTTTCATTTTTCATTGGGCAATCATATGTTTGTTATCTATTGAATAATGTGTATTATATAATGTGTCGTTGATTATTTGAAATTTATAGATAAATAAAATAATTGAACAATTGAATCCCATGGGATTTGTTTGTTTGTTTTCAATAATTTCCCGGGCATTTTTTTACTGACCAGTTAACTTTTCAACTAATTCAGTTACTGGATCTGTACATTTAAGCCAACTACATTTTCTAGAACAACATTCACTACTACTCCAACAGAAATATCCACCCGCAAGGCATAAATGACATTTACCATTAAAAACTGTACTTAAACCACAGTATAAGTTTTCACAACATGGAGAAAATACAGTTTTTGAACAATTTTGACCTAATGTACGACATTCACCTAAAAAAAAAGATTAAAAGATTGTCGAAAATTGCGTGTTAGAATAATAAAATTGAATTTAAAAAAAAAAAGGAATCATTTCATTTTTTGGGGAAAAATGAACATTTAACTTAATTATTTCAAAAGTGTTTATTTCATTGATCATTCTAATCCAAACGTTTTTGTAGTTTGTTGTCTGAAAGGTTAACTATTGATATAACTAAAAATAACTGCCATTATTAATGAACTGACTTGAACTGTCAAATCATTGATAAATTTGATGTTCAGAATTCACCAAATTCTCTTTAGTGACCTTAGATTTGACCTCGACTATGATGAACGATTATGTCATACGGTTCAAAATAAGTTCATTGCATGTTTTGCCGTGTTATTTTGCCTCATTGTTATTATTCTCATTCATTTAGACGAGGTCATTTAGTTTTCTGACATCATATACGCCTTTTTATTTTTCTGATATCATCTGTGATTCGCCGTCAAATCGAAAAGGCTTTTTTTTATTAAAGACTGATCATCGTTATGATATTTTAAATCATTATACATTTACGTGGCTGCATGGTTATCACATCAAGCTCATCACTTTATTGGCTCGTAATCAATCGGCTAAATCGGTGTCAGATCTCTGATCACGAAAAAACTCAACAATACACAAATACAGACTAAACTCAAAACTTGAACTACAATTAGTCTCATATCATTGCTATCGATTTTCTGATTAGCATTAACCTTTGTCAAAAATTATTTCTTAACTGTACAAATCTATACAAAAATAACAATTAAGTGAACATAAATGAAAACATATAATGTAAAATCATAAAATGTGCTCACTAGTGACTAACTTCATGAGGAAACTCTCAGGGTTCCAGTGAAAAGCTGTGATCAGTGGAGTTCAACACAGTCAGATGTAGGTGGTTACCTACTGAAGATAATGGCTGAGGTTACGCAATACCTTGTACCGATTAAAGTTAGAGACTAATACCGTCGGATACTGACTTAATTGTCTAGAGATTAGGTGTACACGCGCGAGACCGAAAGCCATGGCTTCGAATCCCATGAGTGGGGATCATGTATACATACTGCTGATGTGTCACATACTACAGGATGAGACGGATGACCAGACAGATACAACACAGAACATCGTACGTTTGAACATCAGTTCAGGTTGCCATACCACATAAGCATAGAGACACAACTGTCAGTTCAAATCCAATAGTGGTAGAGATAGTAGAAGTATTAGCAGTAATGGAAAAGATAAGGGTGTAATTCAGTGCGATAAAGTTAGAAAGAGAAAGATAGAGATGCTGAGGAATTCAGAAGGTTAGAACTTAAAGAGAACACAAAGAGTGGATGCACTAGCGCCATTGCAAACAATTTTGAGCCATGCCGTTCAAGGTCCCTAACCATTGGTGACTTTCGTCTCGTGGACTCCAACCAGGTGGTAGCCTACATCTACCAACATGACTCAGTTCATTTGTCAGCAGCACAGAAGTCCACTGCTGTACTACAATGATTTATACACCACATACATTGATGTAAACACAAACGGATAATGTGACATTTTCATGAACTATGATGATTATCAGCTAAGTATCTAATCTATCTGTTGATTTTATTCCAAGTTAACAAAATCTTCCCATTGGATCAAACAGTATTAGAAAATGGCCATATTTTAGGTATAATATTTGCTATGCCTACAGCGATGCCGTTGTCGTTTACATTGTCATCCGAATATTCAATTGTCAATACTTACATTACTAATAATGTTTATAACTTAAGTGCGTAACATTACTTTCCCCTCTAAATTTCAAACAGTCATCATCTTACTGATCAATAAAGTGACTGGGTGGAATTTCATATTCAAACCAACAATGTCCATTCTCCATTTCAACAGACTCATGCTTATTCACGATGAATAACACCATGAATAAAACAAACAATTTTTTTAAACACTTTTATGTTCCACTTGAGAAATCAAATCATTTGGGTTAAAAGAAGGGAAATTTGGGAAAAAAAATCAGCTTTATGATAATATTTTATGGGTTTCTTTTTACATTATTGAACTATGATCCAGTACTTATGGAAAAATATTTTTGAAGGTAAGCTTTAGACTTTTGTTTTCATGTAAAATATAGTTTGTAAATTATCGGAGTAGTTGTAGAAGTAGTGTGGTGCGCGCTACTAATAAGTAGTATATGACGTGAGTGTCAACTTAATGTCTGGCAGCAGAATAATGGGGGAAGATCAAGAAAGGAAGAGTGGGAACACAATGGAATTTGTATGAAACTAATGAATAGTGAAATGTCAGACAATCGATTGATGATGGATTGAAGATTTGCAAATTAACCGTTTACGATATGGTGTTCCAATTTTACTGAGTAACTCTGTAATTTGCGATAATACAATTCGGTTGCCCTCACCTGTGTTCTCCTTCACTACAGGAGTAGTGGCTAAACTGATTGTATGATATATAGGCGTAATACGTCTACATAGGATGACAAATAGGAAGGCATTTTCCAAATTCACTCTAATATAAATCATAAGCTGTGATGAATACTCGGTGGAAACTACATAAATTTTCACAAAACTCCTTCATTAACAGTAATGGTCATATGTTTGTGAGTGTATCACCTTTGAAATCAGTTCCCAAGGTTGGATTGAGAAATCGATAGACTGACTTGCGAAATGGAGTTTAATATTCAATACCTTAGAACGAAGTTAACTGAGGTAGGGAATGTGTACTGTTGGATAGCAGAATAGTGGCTTATTACTCAAGCATCCCCCAAAAGAATTAAAAGTGTTGATCTAGAACAGCTGGAATATGGATACCACTGGAATCCAGGATGTACATTTCATCACCTTTTGGGACTTGTCGGCTATTCTAGATCCCAGTGTTAGCCACATCCCATCATATTCAATATGAAGTTGTGTCATTATTGACTTTATCGAAGTAATCTGTACAAGATACACATATGTCAATCAACAGTTACCGAACTTCAGACACAAAATATCAAAAAGCGGGATAATTTGAATTAAAAGTGCCAAGTTTAATCTATGGATGAGTCGTAAATGATCACTTATGTGCAGTCTAAACCAAACAGATATTCACTGCTCTCTGGTTTGCAGTGATTGCTAAATTCAACCATTCTGTTACCGCCTACATAATAACGATATTTTAGTCAGCAAAAATTACATATTATTTAACAGGACAAATATTACTTACCTGATACAACATTTAAATGACTAAAAATGTTAATAATTATCATTAATATCACAAAATAAAACTGATTCATAATGATGGTCATGATAATAATGATGATGATGATGATGATGATGACTCTTATTATTGAAAATGTAACAATATATATATTTCAATGTTCACGATAATAATAATAAATAGGCATTCAATGTGTTTAAATTTATATATCCTTTTTGTGAATTAATATTACTTATGGTGTAAATAAATACAAAACATGTATATGGAAATAAACATTCGAATTTATTTATGTCACATGCTTAAAATTCATTTCATTTAAAAATCGGACATTTAACAATTCACTTGTTTGAAAATGAATTATCAGAATGCATTTGTAAACAATGTATATATATATATATAAGCACGTTCATATATATATATATAAACATTCACGCAACTATTCATTTATTAAGGACTAAATGTCACAGTGTTTTACATGACAAAAAAAAAATTTTTTTTCTAAACTAAAATCTGTTATCACAGAAAACAAATGATTTAAAATTCAGTAAACATTCAAACTCCTCTATACATAAATCGAAATAACATGAAATGTGAATAGAACTATTAAAAAACATCAACATCATCAATTTAGTGAAACAATGAGAATCAGAATAAAAAATGACGAAAAATAATGATTTTTCAGCTAAGTTTTCAATAGCTATATCATTTTGGGGCAGAGTTTTGGATGTTTGTGTTTTTAGACATTTGAAATCATCAATCAATCATTGTTTGTTAGACCACCATTAGAAACTTGGAAGCACTGAAAGACGACCGTTTAGTTCTGGTATGGGACTCATCAGAAGTGCGCATCCACTACTCTTGCTCCTCGAAGGATTCGAATCCGGGACCTTAGGTATTGTGCGCGAACGCTTAAATATCGGACCACTGGGATGGCATCAAACAGTGTTAATGTCTAACTATGATTGACCTAGGGATTTTGAGCAAACTCACCCATTTGTCATTGGTAGTTACTGCCTACACCCGAACAAGGTTGAACTCCATTGGTCACATCTTCTCAACTAGAACTCCGAGAATTTCCTCACGAAGCTAGTCACTAGTGAGCACTGTTACGATATTTTGGGACAGAGATTTTGGAGGTTTGTGTTTTTACACATTTGAAATCATCAATCAATCATTGTTAGACTACCATTAGAAACCTGGAAGCACCGAAAGATGGCCGTTTCGTCCTGGTATGGGACTCATCAGTGGCAGTGCGCATCCACGACTCCTGCTCCTCCCAGGATTCGAACCAATGGCCAAGCCGGTGTCCAATGGTGTTAATGGTTAGGCGTTCGCGCACAATACCAAAGGTCCCCGGTTCGAATCCTGCGAGGAGCAGGAGTTGTGGATGCGCACTGCCACTGATGAGTCCCATACCAGGACGAAACGGCCGTCTCCCAGTGCTTCCAGGTTTCTAATCGTAGTCTAACAATGACTGATTAATGATTTCAAATGTGTAAAATTTATATCATTGTTAATTAGCCCAATACATATTTAGAATGAATCTACTGTGTAGAATTTAAGTTTTGCGACCGTTGATTTCGTACAAACTAGTTGGACATTGAAATAATGGTAATTTATTGATAGATCATGTTGGATGATTATGTAATATAAAAAAAACAGTATCATTCCTTTATTGAATAATCAATTTTAATTACATATTCATTGAAATGAACTTATTCAGTGTTTTCATGCATTTAAATCATTATTGCAGTGTAGGCTATGAATTAAAAACGATGAGCTAAGCACATTATACTTGGTGTTTATATTGAACCTGACTGAATAAAATTTATATATTACTAACTTACTTACGCCTGTTACCCCCAATGGAGCATAGGCCGCACACCACTTTTCTCCAACCAACTCTGTCCTAGGCTTCCCTCTCGAGTTCTGTCCAATGTTTGTTCATTCCTCTCATATCATTCTCTATTTCTCGGCGTAGTGTATTCCTTGACCTTCCTCTTTTCGTTTCACCTTGAGGATTCCAAGTGAGGGCTTGTTTCGTGACGCAGTTAGGTGCTTTCCGCAATGTGTGTCCTATCCACTTCCACCACTTATTCCTGATTTCCTCCTCCATTGGAATCTGGTTTGTTCTCTCCCACAGTAGGTTGTTGCTGATGGTGTCTGGCCAACGAATCCGAAGCATTTTGCGAAGACAACTGTTAATAAACACTTGTATCTTCTGGATGATGGTTTTGGTAGTTCTCCAAGTTTTCGCTCCATACAGTAGAACTGTCTTCACATTTGTATTGAAAATCCTGATTTTGGTTTTGGTTGAGAATTGTTTGAAGTTTCAGATATTTTTCATCTGTAGAAATGCAGCCCTCGCTTTGCCGATCCGCGCCCTCACATCTGCATCGGATTCACTTTGATTGTTGATGACGCTGCTCAGATATGTAAAGGTGTTAACATCCTCCAAGGCATATCCATCAAGAGTGATTTGGTTGGTGCATGTTATGTTGCATCGGAGAATTTCGCTTTTTCCTTTATGTATGTTGAGACCTACTGCTGCAGAGGCTGCTGCTACACTGGTCGTTTTCGCTTGCATTTGTTGTTGCGTGTGCGATAGAAGAGCTAGGTCATCTGCGAAGTCGTCCATCTGCACATTATACTTGGTGTTTATACTGAACCTGACGGAATAAAATTTATGTATATATATATATATATATATATATATATATATATATTTATTAGCCACATGTTTAGTCATGTAACAACTGAGCAGTAAGTAGTTTCCTACCTTCGTTTTCGGTGATAAGATAAATAGTTACACTGAGTTACATGTAGCTTAGTACATGGTGAAAAAAATCAAAATCAAACTACATCATCACAACTTCCAAAGAAATGTTTTTTAGCAGAAAAAAAAGACTTTTGTATTTAAAGAACTAGATGCATCCCTTGTAACATGTTCATACTTGCGTACACGATAATGCAGCTATCAGTTTCATTTGACAATATTCAACTGACTTAATCGAAACCAAAGTAATTTGACTTAGAGGTTCTGATTTATTGATATTCATTACAACCGGTTTTAAGTGATAAACTAGGATATCTGAAGTAAGGAGAATGTATGTTACTTTTATCATAGTTCGAATCACTAATTGGTCTTAGCTAAACCACCATTAAAAACGTGGAAGTACTGGACTGATGTTTCGACGTAGTAGAGTTCAACAATGTTGGGTATGAGGCAGTTACACTCAGTTAGCAATGCAAGATTGTCACATAATTGTTAGGTTCGTCACTTGGTATACTTGAAACTATTACGGGTTCACTTTAGTCGATAAACGCAAATGAGACCATGAACCAGCGTTCAGGTAGGCTACCCTGATCCAATGGCTAACCAAAAGTCTTGATATAGCGTAGAAAGTAAATTGTAAAAACCCCCAGCAAGCACAATGAATTCAAGCACACAAATCTCGTTTATTTATACATCATAGAAACGTCCTTGGGACGGTCACAAAAATAGCCTACTAAAATCATAGCCAGGGATTTTTCTGGTGGGAAATGAAATTTCAAGGTCAACTGATCAGTCCATGATCGCAAACATGAGATTCATCAATCAAACGAGATCTGGGGATCTAACGCCTCCAACAATAATATTGTGCATTAACTACTTAGATGTATAAACTACTGAATTCGAACCCAATTGTTCAAATCAATTGTCCAGACTCGAAATCGACTTCATTACCTTCAATCCCTTTAAATAGGACTACCAATACGCACTACTGACGAGACTCATACAATGATAAAATGACTATCCAAAAGTTCCAGACGTTCAATGCTGATCTATGCAAGAGTAGTTAGGAATGATTGATTTCCAGCGATATCCGCAGACAGATTTCTTCGGTTTCCTATATACGATCATGTTAAGGATGTCATCAATAACATTTCGATCAGTTCTTATGCTTCTTAGCAATTCTTTCGACAAAAATATCAAAAAAATATCGACAAAGTATCAATTTTGTGGTTTGCGTAGATCGGTACAGACTAAGTAATGCATGTCAGCCTAACCATAAATGTATCTAAATCATTTCAATAATATCACAACTATATAACATAAACGATTTTTTCAATGTTGTGATAATTGATAATATATAACATAAACTGACAATAATTCCGTCAAAATTCTGATTCATTCATCATTCACTAGCTGCACAGAATACATTGTTCATTACGTCTTAATGTGTGATAAGCCACTTCCTGGAAAAAAAAATACTGTTTATATTGTTTCACATGAAATCGTATGTTAACAACATTAGTCTAGTAAGCATACAGGTTTCATAGAAAGTTAAGTGTAAACTATTGTTACCGATGATCATGTAAACATAGTTATTTATGTACTTAAACCATTCATATCGTTTGTCAAATAGATGATTACTCCATTTTTATCCTTAATTTAATGTCAATTATAGTTTTGTGATATTTGTGATGTTTGGTAAAATGATAACATTCGTCATTTAGTGTTATGGAAATGATAGTTTTACTTGAAATTCATGAATGAATCATTGTTAGACCACCATTAGAAACCTGGAATCATAGGATAGCCATTTTGTCCTGGTATGGGACGCATCAGCAGAAATGAGCACCTAGGACTCCTGCCAGGACCTCCGATCTTGCACGCGAATGCCTAACCTTTGGAATCGTACATTGTGCTCACTAGTGACTAGCTTCATGAGGAAATTCTCGGAGTTCTGATGAGAAGAGGAGAACAGTGGAGTTCAACCCTGTAAGGTGTAGGGAGTAACTACTGAAGACAACAAGTAATGTTGCGCGAAATTCTTAGATTGATTAAAGTTAGACATCAACACCGGTGGGATTATTCTCAATGGTCCAGAGGCTGTGCGTTCGCATTCAAGACTAAAGGTCCTAGGTTCTAATCCTATGAGTGCCAAAAGTCGTGAATGCGCGCTTCTACTGATGTCCTATAGAAGGATGAAACGACCGTCCAGTGCTTCCAGATTTCTAATGCTCGTCAAACAATGATCAAAGATAATATAACTCAATGAGACTAAGTTGAAAAAATCACTCACATTTTAA